AGACTAAACATAACTGCTTTGCTGACAAAACTTATTGGTCACAGATCTGGAGATCTGAAGCTCAAATTACACACATAGCTGGATGAGTGGAAGAGTGACTCATCACAATATGTGATCCTTGTTCTGGACAGCTGTGCAAAAAGTTTTAATGAAAGAGTGAGAGTCTCAAAGGAAAAAGCATATACTGAATTTGTTTAGAGAATGCACTGTAAAAGTAGTGCCATGAGTGTGCCTTTTGTTAAATGTTAAATATTTTATATAAACAAAAATGGAGATATTATAAAATCCGCTTGAAGATGCAGTATGATAAAGTTGAAGTCCAGTTTTACCTTTAGTTTTGAATAATACTGAAATGGATTACTCTGATTTGACTGCACACTGTGAGCTTCTTACAGTGCACATTAGAAGCTGCAGCAAGAGTTCCTGGCTGGTCCGCATCATCCAGCCTTTTCTCCCCCTTGCTGTCCCTGACCTACCCTTTTCCTTTGATGAATTTCAATCCTTTCTGTCATGGAGGCTCAGAATCCACATGTGAGCATTACCTAGGATGGTCTACATGCAAATTCAGCCTACCTAGGAACGCCCACTCCTCCACACTGACACCTGTCCATCTAGGCATTATCTCTTCCCAAAAGCCCCCCCCCCCCAACCCCCCAAGCACTGCTTGCATCAGAGCTGAGGGCTGCTGAGAGAAATACTGAAGCAGGGTGTTGTGATGTTTTCAGGAAGCTATGTACATCACCCTGCCAGCCCCTCCCACCATCCATGATCTGCTTGCATTACATAGAGAAGAATAGGTGCCCCAGTGATGATGGCACTGGGTTTAAAAGAAGGTATACAATGAAAATGTAAAGGTTTTCTTTTTTTTTTTTTTTTTTTATTGTATTAGCCTGTGGATGAGGGGGAGGAATGAGGGAAGGCAAAATAGAAGCAGATTAAACTTCATCTTTACCCAACCAAAAATCAAATTGACAGAAAAACCATTATAGGTCCCAGTTAAACAGTCAGTATTTCAATATCACATTCAGAATAAAACTTGCTTAACATAGTTTCCTACTTGAGACCCTTCTAAGTAGGCAGTTAGAACAGACCTGTCTCCTGAGCCTACTCTATTACTCTAAGGCAGTGGTCGCCGGATGTGGCCGCTTTGCTTGCATTTATTCAGCCCTTGGTGCACTATTCCTTCCACTGATACCAGGCAGTATTCCTCCAAGTGACATGAATGATGTAGTACTATTTCTCCTAGTAACAGTAATGATGGGGCACTATTTCTCCTCCCACTGACAGTATTGATGGGGCACTATTCCTCCTCCCACTGACACAAATGATGAAACACTATTTCTTCCACTCACACCAGTGATAGGACACTTTTCCTCCCACCGACACCAATGATGGGGCACTATTTCTCCCAATATCACCAATGATGGGGAACTATACCTCCCAATGACACCAAAGATGGAGCTCTATTCCTCCTCCCGCTGACCACCATGTCTGGAAATTGTTTACTTCCACTGACACTGAGGTATTTTCTACTCCCACTGGCCACAGTCTGGCCCCCCTAACGTCTAAAGCACAGTAAACTGGCCCTTTGTTTGGAAAGTTTGGAGAACCCTGCTCTAGGGGTAAGCAAACTTTGGCCAGCTATTGTGGAACTACATGTCCCATGTAGCATAGCAAGATGCTGACAGCCACAAGCATGACTCCCATAGGTGTGATGGGCCTTGCAGTTACGCAAGACCTGGATGTCTGAAATCTACTTACCCCCTACTCTAGAACCAGGTCCAGTGCTGGGACAAGGTCACTTAGCGCACAGAGCAAAGATGCCAAACAGCGCCCTATCAATATGTATGAGTATTATGTGTCAGAAAAAAGTCCTCTTCACCCCCTCCCAAAAAAAAAAATTTGAGCACTAATCTTCAAACTTACTCCTAAGCATAAATTTTCTTTGCAAACCGAAATTCTCCCCTCTGCCCAAAAAAAATCCTCCTCTTCCAGTGCATATCCCTCCTCCCAGCTAAAAACCTCTCCCTCCCCGAATCACCCCTTCTAGCACAAATTCTCTACCCCTCAAATGTCCCCTCTGAGCATAAATCCTCTCCTCCCCCTCCAAATCTCCCTCTCCCAAAATGAATCTCTCTCTCCAAATCCCCTCTCCTAGCACTAATCATCCCTACTAGCAGCGTCGGGACAAGGTCTTTCGGATCAAAGATGCCAAACTGCTCTTCCGGGCATGATGTGCAAGCTTAGGGGATCCTACGCCCTGCAGTCTCTCACTTGTCAAAATCATTGCCACTGTCACAGAAGGAAGGCGCCCCCATCCCTACAGCAAACCATTGTGCCCTGGGCAGCTGTTCCTTCCGCCCACCCCTTGACCTGGCCCTGACCAGGTCACACCAGATTTAAATTGAAGTGCCATTTTGGGTAAGCATGGTAAGCAGTACATCCTATAAGGCAAAAAAATGTATGCATTTCAAATAAAGTTTGAAAAGTCTTAGCAGGCAGCTTCTTATGATGACCAGACACTTCTCAGAAGTGCACACAATTCTTTATCAATTAGGAGAACACAGCACTTTTTATCCATACGAGCCGAAGCCATTTTTTATCCCTGAACTTCAAGGATTTACATGTTATCATAGCAAGAAATCAAGCTGAGATGCCAGGAGGGCTGACAGCAGCTTTCAGTTGGAAAAATTCAAAGCGCTGAAATGTAAAAACTGTACAAGTGCGGGAGAGGAGGGAATGTTCTCACCAACTCATCCAAGCCCTTGGGTGGTTGGGCAGGTGGTATTGTCAGAAATAGATAGCAGCAGACCCTGAACACGCTATACATGATGCAACAGCTGAGATTATGACTGGCAAGAATGGAATATTCGAGTCCTTCTCTCTCTGAACTAAGACCTGCAGCCTTCTGGAAGATCTTTGTGAAGGTGTAGCAATTCTATGTAACGCTTTGATCCATTAATATTTAACAAACACAAGATTTTATGGAGATTCTCAGTTTAATTAAGTTGCCTATGGCCATTTACTGTGTTTATGCCATGTTGTGCTGCTGATAAATATAGCTTGAAGGCACTTATATTATGTACTCCATATGCAGGGATGGCAAGCTGCAGTTGATTTACAAAAAGAGAAGAGCATGTTCACTATGCAAAGTGGATTTTCACTCAGCTTAAGTAGTGCTGTGTTCACTGTAAATACCCAATCATGATCAGAGAAAATAAAAAAAAAATTTGAGATTGCCTGTGATCAGATGGTTAAAGCCAACTTAATTTAATTTGCTAAGGTAAGAAAAAATTCACCCTGCAAAGTGAAAAGCCTAAAACTCCTTTAATAAATCAACCCTACCATTTCTCATGATTGGAAATGTCCTTTTAACAAATTAGATACACTATTTATCTCTTTATAATTTTTTTTTGTTTGGAGAAAGATATGGAGCATCTCATTGGTTCCTAGGAGCAAATGAAGCAGTCTCTCTCACTAAAGCCAATCATGCATAGATCAAAATTTGGCTGGTTCAGCAACGACTTGCTGAATTTCAATTCATGTATGGGCAATGGTTGTACAGAGGTTGATAGCTGCCCTGTCGTAATTTCCCCACTCAATCAGCACTGCAGGCTATAGCCTGCAACACTGATCAGTGTATTCTAATGTTGGGGAAGTCTCCCCACTGTCAAAATACTATAGTTAAGCGGGGAGGATTCCCCCAACCACATTAAGTGTATGGATGGGGGAATCAAGTCACTTTTATTCCTTCAACCTTCTGGTTAAAGTAAAAAGACAGACTCATCAAGGGTCTGTCTTGGACTTTAAGAGCTAATTTAAACTATGTGCAGTGACCAGAATTTTACTGCATTGTGTGTTCTATTCCTACTGCAAAGTAGCCCAGAGCTGCACTGCAGAAAGCTGCAATAAAAGATAAAATGCAGACATGGTGCATTTTACTGCAGCACGGTCTACAGCATGTCACTATGCAGCAGCACAGTGCATTGTGTAGAGCAAGGGCCTGCCTGATTGCATACAGATCAGCTGGAAAGTGTGGGTACAGTAGGTCCTCATATTGCATAAATTTGGTAAATATAAAGTTGATTGTACAAAGATTTATGGGCAATTTGTAGGGCATATGGTGACCCTTAAGCCTAGCACACATGATCAGAAAATTGTAAAAAAATACCGCTTTCAAACTGATCGTACAATAATCTGATCATTAGTACACAACTTTTGTCTGAAATTATTCAAAGGGACATGCATGAAAAAATTTCTTGGATAATACCAGATCGTATAATTTTCATTTAATCAGCACAGTTTTCGTCTTAAAATACAATACAAATACATTACAATACATGACATCACTTCCAAATTTTTAATTTTAGCCTTTTCATTATTGATATGAGACTAGCACGCAAAAAAAAATGTATGATTATTTGTCTAATATTCTCATCATGTGTACAGGGCTTTAGGCTAAGTTCATAACTCATTTGGTGGGACAGCGTTGGGCAGCTATTCTAGCGCAGTTCCACCACATGGGCAAGGTAAAATGCCTTGTCTCCTATGTGTCCAGTTTACACCAATGCCCTGCAGCAATGTGCTGGCACAGTGCTCTTAAACAAATTACTACTTCCTTGCAATGCGCAGCCAGAACTTGATGTCTGTGTGGCATCTCAAAAAAAGTTTGTTTTTAAAAAAAGGAAACAGTGTGATGCACAAAGTTCAGAGCATCATCACTGCACCTATCTCGGCCCCAACATACCACAAACCAGCCTCGCTGTTGTAATGCAGCAGCTGGTGTAAACAAGTCCTTAGTTTCATTAGGTCAATGGCTACATTTTTGGAGGTTACATTTCTTTGGTTATTTTTTTGGTGTTGTTCAACACTTACACTATTTTGCCAAAATATTGGAACACCCCTCCAAATCATTGGTGTTCCAATCATCTCCATGGCCACAGTTGTATAAAATCAAGCACTTAGATATGCAGACTGCTTCTACAAACATTGGTGAAAGAATGGGTCGCTGTCAGGAGCTCGGTGAATTCAAGCATGGTACCGTGTTAGGTTGCCACCTGTGCTATAAGTCCATCCATGAAATTTCCTTGCTACTAAATATTCCACGGTCAACTGTTAGTGGTATTATAACAAGGTGGAAGCAACTGGGAACAACAGCAACTCAGCCACAAAGTGGTAGGCCACGTAAAATGACAGAACAGGGTGAGCGCATGCTGTGTTCTCTGGAGTGACGAATCATGCTTCTTTATCTGGCAATCCAATGGATGTGTCTGGGTTTGGCGGTTGCAAGGAGAACGGTACTTTCCTGACTGCATTGTGCCAAGTGTAAAGTTTGGTGGAGAGGGGATTATGGTGTGGGGTTGTTTTTCAGGAGTTGGGCTTGGCCCCTTAGTTCAAGTGAAGGGAACTCTTAAGGTGTCAGCATACCAAGGCATTTTGGACAATTTCATACTCCCAACTTTGTGGAAATAGTTTGGGGATGGCCCCTTCCTGTTCCAACACTACTGCGCTCCAGTGCACAAACCAAGGTCCATAAAGACTGCGAGCCAGGCCTTCTCATCCGACATCAATGCCTGACCTCGCAAATGCGCTTCTGGAAGAATGGTCAAACATTCCCATAAACACACTCCTTAACCTTATGGACAGCCTTCCCAGAAAATTTGAAGCTGTTATAGCTTCAATATTGAACCCTACGGACTAAGACTGGGATGCCATTAAAGTTCATGTGCGTGTACAGGCAGGCATCCCAATACTTTTGGCAATATAGTAAATAAACAGAAATGTGAGTTGAGATAATCCAAGTAGCATAAATTTAAAACATATATGAGCAGACAGGGAAGCCCTTTAACTTTGCCATTTGTGCTAGTTGCTAGTGGATTGGCACTTGGGCAAAATATGACAAATATTTTCCTCCAAGTGCCATGACATCATAATAGTGGGGTAGGCTGCTGCTTGTAAAGACTAACATTAGAAACTGATTTGATGGGTGACAGAGTAACTGGCTACAGTTTACTGCACTTTACAAACTGGTCGGTATCTTTTGGCATTTGAGCCCTTTGTTTCACATTGAAAGATAGCTAGCACCGGTTAGAAAAGAATAAAATCCACTGCGTTCAATTCTATTACATCCAACCATTAATGAATTAAATGAAGGAGAAATAATTAACCTTATTCAGGATTGTTTTGCAAACTATTAAAGCAATTTTAAGACAGTTAACTGTTTTTTGATTATTCATTTGGAACTTGTTTTTGACAGACTAAAAAAATCCTATCACAACCTTTGACTGTATCAGCAGAATACATCAGTGAAAAGTTAAAGTGATATGAAATCCTCAGTTTTTAAAGTATAATTAAAGGTAAAACCTTTTCTTTTAGTTTTAGGCTAGGTTCACACTGATGCGGTACGGAATTTGCAGCGTTTTCTGTTCGAATTCCTCACCGCATCAGAATCATATCCCGTTCATGCAAACCACTTGTGGGTGTGTATGTTAAGTTGGCAACACCCCGAAATTGGTGCACAAAACGCGGTGCGATGTGCAGAATCGGATCTCATAGGTGTGAATACCCATGCAATCCGATTCTAGTGCGGACCCAAAAAAGGGTCCTGCACCTTTTGGGTGCGATGCGATTGGAGCCATACGTAATGTATGGCTCCAATCGCACCGCACACAAATCGCATTTGATTTGCACAGGAATGCGGTGTGGTTCCTTTGCGAATCACATGCGATGTACTGCACCACACCTAGCCTGAGAAATAGAGGAGAGAAATTAGAACCCCTGTAAGGTTTTTATTGCTGTCTGTGTCCCTGTTAAGGAGATTCATCCTCTCTATTTGTCCCGTTTGCTATTATCATCGAAAGTGAAACTAAAAGAAAACCCCAAATTCGCCAGGACACTAATAGAGAGGAGATATTCCAATGGTAACACTGGTTTCCATGGCCCTGATGACAGCCATGGATTCCCTTACTTTGTTAAGGATTCCCTCTTACTCCCTGTTTTGTTTATGGCACAGGAAGCAAAGGTAAATCTCCACAATGGGACACACATGGCAAAAAAAAAACGGACAGGGGAAAAAACCCTCCTCCCTTATCCAACATGAAAAAAATGTCTTTAGTTTACTTTAAGCTCTTTCAGTGGCTGATTTAATTCACTTACTGAGTATGCAGCTTCTTTATCGTTTGTTGTTTTTTGATTTTTTTTTTTTTTTTTTTTAAATCTTTATTTGAAGTGGTGCATGCTGCCTGCTGTGCGGTGAAATGTGGTGACATCCAGTGCACTGCGGAAAAATGCAGACATGCTGCATTTTTCCGAACTGCACTAAACCGAACATCAGACCAGCACAGCGGTGTGAACGGGACACAAAGAAAACAACTGTTTACTATGTGCCCCAGTGTTAACTTGGTGTTTATCCAATGCAGATAAAGCCCTTAATTCTAGCCTATGTTTCAGTTCAGGCTGGTGCTATGACCTCTGCCTCAGATTTCTTGTTTTAGGGTGACTCCATATAAATATATTAATATAAATCCACTTTGTGTGCACCAAATCATTTTTCAAACCTAGATATTAATTTGTTAAAATAGCAATGACATCTTCACTGCGATGTACATAGTCTTGAGCAGAGAGCAAAGCTGTGGGAGGGGCTCAGCAGGTTCCGCCCATTACAGGATGCTGTCGATAACTACAGGAGGGGGTGGAGACAAGACCAGTCACCCTGCACAAGGACAGAGAACGGCAGTACAGGAAGCTCCTGCACAGAGGCAAAGTATCACACTGGATTACTGCAGAGATCTGGAAGAAATATACAAGGAAGAATACACATGACTGTATTGAGACAGTATTTGCTTATCCTGGAGTTCAGTTTTAATGAATTTGGCTGAATGTATAGTACAGTAACCCATTGCAAGCAATCAGAATTTACCATTGTTCACACAGCACTACATTAACCCCTTAGTGACTGCGAATTAAACAAATGTTAATGCTTGAACACAATTTTGCAACTCTGACATGCTAGTAAAAGTGTACATATCTGTAGCGCTACCTCCAGAGGAGCCACTAGTATTTTTGCCCAGGTTTCCCCATCTCTTCACCTCGCGACCAGGCACAAAGTATTTTTCACAGCCAGGTACACACACTCTTTCGCTCACTGTCTTCAATGACCAGTCTAAGGGATGTTTGTTTTTGGAGTTTTATTGTAGAACTGGGGATAGAGATAGGGAATTCAGTAGGATACTCCAAAATTCGAACTAGGGTCAAGCACTAGAGGGGTAGCAAAGCACACCAAGTCTCCAAGATCTCTCAACGTTTGTACTCACAAGGCCCAAGGACAGAATGGTAGCCTTCTTCCAAGTGAAACCGTACAGTGATACCAGATGGATCTTTGGAAGACAGCTCTGCTCAGTCGGCTTACTGTAGAACCAGGTTCACTCTCTCTAACTTCAGGCCCTCAGGTCGCCCACCTGAGGCCTGCATGGCTGCAAATGCCAGGACGAGGCAAGCCTTCCTCCAGCTTGGCATGGTTCAGTCCTCTCCTGGGAAAGATGCTGAACCCATGTGCTCACAGAACATAAATACCACTCCCAGCATGTAATGGGGCCACCCTCCCCTACAATTGGCTAGGGCTGTGTCCATATTCATGCTGTTCATTTGCCTAGCCCCTACCCATGTTCTGGAAGGCTCTCATAGCTTCCTGAAGGCGGGCAAAACTCAGACAAACTAATCAATTATAGCACTCTGTTAAACAGAGAGCCCGGGTAGATGCCTAACAGTCTCTCTGTTAAGCGGAGAAACACAGCTATGCCTAACCTAACTATATAAATCCTAACACCTAACTAGGAGCATGCTACATATCATTCCAACTACTTTTTGTATCCATGTAGATTATACCTTGTTTTTTTTTCAGGACAAATTGGGTTTTCTTCTGGTGGTAAATGGTAATGGATATCTTCTGATTCTTTTATTATCAAAGGAAAGTTGTCCGAAAAAAAAAATAAATAATAATTTAGCTGTATATTTCTTACCATAACTTACCACCAAAGAATGACACTAAATAAATTCTCCTGCCCCTTCCGATCTCAGCGATACCACATATGTGTATGTTAGTTTATGACTGTAGTAAGATCCAGAAACAATAGTACACAATTTGCTTTTTTTTATCCTACCTAAAACACACTGACACTAACTGACACTGATGCTAATTGGTTTTTTTTAACCAAGAAAAACAGAAAATAAGTGAGCGCTTATATGATGATATATATATAAATATATAATATATATAATATATAATAGGCAGCAGCTGTACACCAAAAAGGCACCGTATCAAACCTTCAATAGCATATATATGAACAGGGGGGTGCAGCGCTGTATAACCAAATAGCAATTACACAATGGTGAACAGTGACTGTAAATTAGTAATGCCACTATAGGTGGCTCAAGGTGAGGAGAGTGAGAAGCAGTCCAGTAAAGGGGTGCTCTTAAGATCCAGGGTGATCTTCAAACGTCCAATATGCAGGACCATCGGGTGATAAAATTAAAGACTGCGCACTCACCAGATACGCAATCTTTATGCGCATTTGTGTGAAATTATCACTAGACCTCCTGTGTCATCATCCTGGTCTGGTCAGATCTGATCAGCATATCCCTCATGGCCCGGTAATTGGATGGATGCAGCTGTTCCGTAGATTTGGCCGTTCTCACCAGAATTGTATGACTGTATAGACGTTTATCCAAAAGCGGGTTTTGTACTGACTGGAGTCAACTCTCGGCCCAACTTCACCGCCACCGAGACTCAGCCGCTCACCGGCGCCGCCTACTTCCCTCCCGGGGACGTCCCACCTCTCCTGAGCCCGCCGCTAGAGGCCTCTAGCGGCGGGCTCAGGAGAGGTGGGACGTCCCCGGGAGGGAAGTTTGAGCGGCTGAGTCTCGGTGGCGGTGAAGTTGGGCCGAGAGTTGACTCCAGTCAGTACAAAACCCGCTTTTGGATAAACGTCTATACAGTCATACAATTCTGGTGAGAACCGGCCAAATCTACGGAACAGCTGCATCCATCCAATTACCGGGCCATGAGGGATATGCTGATCAGATCTGACCAGACCAGGATGATGACACAGGAGGTCTAGTGATAATTTCACACAAATGCGCATAAAGATTGCGTATCTGGTGAGTGCGCAGTCTTTATATTTTATCACCCGATGGTCCTGCATATTGGACGTTTGAAGATCACCCTGGATCTTAAGAGCACCCCTTTACTGGACTGCTTCTCACTCTCCTCACCTTGAGCCACCTATAGTGGCATTACTAATTTACAGTCACTGTTCACCATTGTGTAATTGTTTTTTTTAACCACTTGCCCTCCTGAGGATTTACCACCCTTCCTGACAAGGCCATTTTTTGCGTTTTGGCGTTGCATTACTTTAACTGACAATTGCACGGTCATGCAACGCTGCACCCAAATGAAATTTGCATCTTTTTTTTGCCCACAAATTGAGCTTTCT